GTGAAAATGTCTTGAAAGAAAAAAAAAAAGATTAACGAAAAGATTGTCTATATCAGAAGGAAGCAATCTACATTCTTTAGTCATGTCACAGGAGGGATAAAACTGGAGTACATCATGACAGTGGGAAAGTTGGAGGGGAAAATAGGCAGAGAAAGACAGTTTTACATCATGGAATGGAAGATCATCTGTGTCAAAACTGATTGGAAGTACATGAACGGAAAGTTGTGGATGTCATGACTACGAACTTCACACGGCATGGTCAATTAAAAAAAAAGAGAATGTTTATAGTTTCACCCACTGAGTTTCGATTGATCTATAAATAATACTGGTCTAGCACCGCACATAATACACGGCCAGCCTGAAAAGGGTCATTTATTTCATCATCACAATGATGTGCCTATACAGAGGTTTCATTGGGCTTGCCGTCTAGTCCTCTATTCCATCCTATCATATGCAACCCCTTTGACTGTAAGTTTCTGTAGCAGACATTTTTTCCTTTTTCTGAGTCAGGTAGCTGGCCCCGTGACGTCCTCCTCCTTTCTAATCCTGGATAGGGACTGGCGATAGTAGAATTTTTTTTTTTAAATGATTTACTGAATGTGTTAAAATACATCTTGTGTTATTTGTCTAGGAGACAGCTGATACGTCTTTCTTTCTCACGTAAATAAAAATGAGCTTACAGGTATTATTCGAGCGCTTCAATCTATGAAGTATGTATATTATATATTATTTACATTTGGTCTGGGCATACTACATAAATCTGTTTAGATATTAGGCATGTGATGACTAGACTGACAGACATTCATGCTTCTTCTGCAACTTTTTCCTGTTTTTTCCCCTCCTCCTTCTTCCTCTTCTTCTGCTGCTTTTCTTCAGGTTTGTGATACCTCCGAATAATACCCCCCCCCCCCCCCAATTCCCCCCCCCCCATTTCCTCCGTTTCCGCTACAAGAACAATCTGCTTTCATCATCAACGTAAGTCAGCAGATTCTTTGCAGAAAGTCGCCTTAGTCACGGTAAGCTTGAAAGTCTCTCTTTCTCTAGCAAATTCTCCAGACCTGTGTACTTTCACAAGCAATGCATTTTCAATGTCCTGTATCTACCTTTAAAGGGGTTCTGACTTTGCCTTGCTTTCTGGAAACTCTACTCTCCATCACTGTTCTCTCCACGCCACCTTGATGTGTAATATGGCCATCATACCTCAGCTTTTGAGACAGAATGCTGTTTATGTGCCAGTTTTCCTCGATGTTAGGATAATTCTTCTTCTTGGTCGATGGTATTCTAAAAAATTTTCAGTCTGTAGGATTTCAGTTCAAAAGCTCCATTTGTTTCTCCGATTTTGTTTGTTTGTTCGATTGAGCAAGAGTCCATGACACACTGTTTTCATTATCACTCTGTACATCTTTGATCAAATCGTTTTGTTTTTTTTTCAGTATCTTGAGATATAGTAATCACTTTCTGTTCACATCTTGGATGTTTCCTTGAACTAGTTCAGTATTTACATCTTTGTCATTCTGGCAGAATCGATGCCCTCTTTATCCTCAAACTATCTAACCAGGTGGGAATTCATCACACTATGATTTATATAAGTTAAGAACCAACACCATAGCACTCTGTACAATCCGATAATCGCTCTATCCCAACTTTCAGCTGCATACACAGAGTTCCAGTTTCTATGATACTAGTTACAGTCTGATTATATGTCTAACTTGCCCCTCCCCTGAGTGCCTCCTGTTCACGCCTCATGACACTATAAACACAAACCTAATTATAACAACTCAAACTATAGTTATGGGATGATCGTGAACTTTTATGAACGTAATTTATTTATCCTTGCAGATGATACCAAAGGTCCAGCATTCAATTCAACAGAAATTTCAGGTCGTGCATTCTGGCAAAATTCATCGCGTAAGTAGTCCACGGTGTATGGAGCTGAAACACTGAGAACAACTAAGGCAATAACTAATAAACTAGACTGGTACCAGAATAGAAGGAATTAAATGGTGTGATAATATAATCACTTATGTAGATCATTAGGAGAGAACTAAATAAGTTCGAACGAACGAAGGAACAAACTTTATTTTCAAAGGGTTACAAATTGGGCACGTAGGCTCGTCTGACATTCGGCCCTTCTAAGCACTCGTTTTTCAGAGTACCAATGCCTGTTATCTAAAATGCATGTTATAGATATAGAATAAAAATATACATTATAGAATATAATACATACATCATGTGTACACAATCTTACACACTCACACACACACACACAAATATATATATATATATATATATATATATATATATATATATATATATATATATGCTCTCACATTCTCATACATGCACACTCATATACAGGCATACCTAACACATACATATAAACATCTACATATATACACAAACAGAAAAGACACACACATACATGTATGGACATATATGCACACACACATTCCATACATACACACCTACACATGCATGCATGCATACACACACATACAATCACATGTACAGACACCCACAACCACACATTTACACTCACATGTAAACATACATACACACATATACATACACACATCATTACATACACCTACATCTTTACACACATACATGCATACATACCTAAATACACACACATACACCCATATTCCAGTGGACCAAGAGGTGAAAAGACGCTGGCGTTGGATAGGACACACGTTAAGAAAATGGAACCCAAAGGGGGGATAGAAATAAACGCGAACCCAAAAAACACACACAAACACACATGAAGAGTGGAGTAAAACAGATAAGGAAGACATGGGGTAAGCCTCATGTAATAGTGAAGGATAGAACATTTTTGCGTGTTAGTTGAAGCCAAATGCTCCATTGAGCATTGGAAGGTAGAAGAAGCAACTGCCCGCACAAATTTGACAGAAAACTTGTACAAGTATATTCTAATTATTAGTAAAGGTTATTATGTTTGTTGGCTGGGGAAGGTAAAGAGAAGGTAAAGAGAACATAGAAACAAGTTCTATAAGGTAATGACATTTTATAGATGACGTCAGCACATCCTTAACACTGACAATTTGATGCATAAATAGCCTCTTTGCCTTCTTCCTGTGCAGTTAGTAAATTAGAGTCTGTTGAGAGAGAGAAAGAGAGAGAATGAGAGAGAGAGAGAGAGAGAGAGTGAGAGTGATAGACAGAGTTGGGGTAGGATAGAGTATTGTAAATAGTTATGTTTTTATTGATTTCAAAATGAGGAATTATAGAATTAAAAGTGATTTACAATCGTTTTTTTTTTAAAGCATGCGTGTGGGTCTCCCTGGCGAAGTGGTCAAGCCGTTTGCCTCGCGCTCTGAAAGTCGTGAGTGTTCGAATCACGGCTGCGACGCTCAGTTCACGAAGGCAATTTTTACGGTGATCACTGGGGATCCTGATAGGTTGGCCTCGAGCGATCCGACTTTCACACAAGGTCATGCGCTCACAGCGCGTGTTGTATATTTCACCATGCTAGAGCTTTTAACACTTCTAAAACATTTAGAGACTGGGACTAACACACAACACCCTAGAGAGTGAGAAAACCTATGTCACAGGCTGTCTCTTTCTCGGAAATAAAAACGTATATGCCAGACAACAACAGACTGCGACACCCATAACCTCGACAATGGTAGACTAGTCCAACCAACATATCAATGGAGTTGACCTACAACCGGTGGTGTGTAAATGGGGAGACCATCGTATAAATAACCGCTTTTATTAAAAGCCAAGTTGAGTTTTATGTCCTACTCAGCTTTTCAAGCTTTCAATTTTCTCTTAATGTTTTTTGCATAAATTGTGTTACATCCCCACTACTTCTATACCATGTGTGGCCAGAATAAAACTGGATAAAAAATTGAAAAAAAAAAAGGCCAAAAAAAAAAAAAATAAAAACCAAACCAAAAAAATGAAGGCCAAAAAAAAAAAAAACGCTTAACGCACTTACACATGTAAGATGCAAAAAATAAAAAGCGCAAAAAAGATTTTAAGTGGGACCCTGAAAGGGGCCGTGTGGTTGGAACTCAGTGACAAGCTTATCGATTTCGATGTGGTGTACAAGGAAACAGCCAAGGAACAATCACGGACAGAGTGCGTAACAGCTCACACAGGCAAAAAGGAAAGGACAAATAGAAAGATCGGTAATCAAGGCACAACCAAACGCCTACAAAAAAAAAAAAAAACGACCTAGAGTCAGCACACAAACAAGGACTTGATATAGTCACTGCTCAATCAGGAGCAGACTGAAAGAGTCGAGGAGTTTTATAATTTTTGTTTTCTACCAAGTTCAAGTTCAAAAGCCAAGTTAACAAATGTCCATGTAAACCCCAGCGATTGAGGTCACAGCATGTATTACCTAATATCTGTTTTTTTAAAAGTCTCTAATGTTTCACCGCGTTCGTGTTTATTGATTTCTCCCTTTGTGTAGCTTTATACGTTTGGAAAAACATTATTCAGAATGCTACTGGCACCATTAGTATCGGAACTCTTCGCTGGCTGTTGAAGATGGGGTCGGAGCGCTCATGAGAATACCCCGAGTGCTGTGATGTCGTTTCTTGAATCAAATCAAAATTAAATCATAAACTATTTTTTAAAAAAATTGATAAATACATTTTTTATGAATTTATAAGTGACCAGCTTAAATTTGTTTTTTTCGCTAAAAGATTTTTTTTACTGGAATTCCAAATAGGTCATGGCCCAGTTTTTTGTTTTTGGTTTTGTTACTGGGGTGGCAGGGTTAAAAGTCATATCCCTCCTGAAAATTCACAACCAACCAGTCAACCATCTCTTCTCCCAAATTAAACTGACTAACCTGGAAGACTCATCAAGTCAATAAATGCACGAAGAATTCAAAAGTCACCTGTGTAAGCAGGAACAAGGCAATAACATCAACAACAATTTAAAAAAACAACAACAACAAAACAAACTATGAGACAATTGAAGCATGCACTGTCTCATTATTTTATGATAATTTCCTTTCATACAAGTACAACTTAATTTTTCTTGCAGATTGTTGCGAAAATAGTGTCCCCCGTGATTGCTTACAGCAATGCCTACATGAACAGACAGTGGATCCACAGATTACCTCTTGTATTTCAGAAAGTCACAAAATGCTTGCATGCTTTGCTGGTCAGTTTTTAATTTGGTTAGAAAAGAATTACTTTCACTTAGCTATTTGACCTTTCCTGTAAAACATAAAACAAATGTATATCTGTTTTCCTTTCAGTAACTTTTTACTCTAATACAGTGGCTCTCAACCTTCATCATGCACCAACCCTTTAATACAGTTCCTCCTGGGTGCTGTTCACGGTAACCGTGACGTTGACCTTTCATTCATAGCTTCTTGAACTTTTCTGGGTCACAAGGGTGTGAGTCTATTCCACCTGGGACATCTCACGGAACAGCAGCGACACGCAACATTCAATGCATTGCTCACAGAACGGCGCAATGAACAGCAACACACAACATCAGTCAATGTATTGCTCACAGAACGGCGCAATAAACAGCGACACACAACATCAGTCAATGCATTGCTCACAGAACGGCGCAATAAACAGCAACACACAACACCAGTCAATGTATTGCTCACAGAACGGCGCAATAAACAGCAACACACAACATTGGTCAATGTATTGCTCACAGAACGGCGCAATAAACAGCAACACACAACACCAGTCAATGTATTGCTCACAGAACGGCGCAATAAACAGCGACACACAACATCAGTCAATGCATTGCTCACAGAACGGCGCAATAAACAGCAACACACAACATCAGTCAATGCATTGCTCACAGAACGGCGCAATAAACAGCGACACACAACATCAGTCAATGCATTGCTCACAGAACGGCGCAATAAACAGCAACACACAACATTGGTCAATGTATTGCTCACAGAACGGCGCAATAAACAGCAACACACAACACCAGTCAATGTATTGCTCACAGAACAGCGCAATGACCAGCAACACACAACATTGGTCAATGTATTGCTCACAGAACGGCGCAATGAACAGCAACACAACACCAGTCAATGTATTGCTCACAGAACGGCGCAATGACCAGCAACACAACACCAGTCAATGTATTGCTCACAGAACGGCGCAATGACCAGCAACACAACACCAGTCAATGTATTGCTCACAGAACGGCGCAATGACCAGCAACACACAACATCAGTCAATGTATTGCTCACAGAACGGCGCAATGACCAGCAACATCAGTCAATGTATTGCTCACAGAACGGCGCAATGAACAGCAACACACAACATTGGTCAATGTATTGCTCACAGAACGGCGCAATGAACAGCAACACACAACATCAGTCAATGTATTGCTCACAGAACGGCGCAATGACCAGCAACACACAACATCAGTCAATGTATTGCTCACAGAACGGCGCAATGAACAGCAACACACAACATTGGTCAATGTATTGCTCACAGAACGGCGCAATGAACAGCAACACACAACATCAGTCAATGTATTGCTCACAGAACGGCGCAATGACCAGCAACATCAGTCAATGTATTGCTCACAGAACGGCGCAATGACCAGCAACATCAGTCAATGTATTGCTCACAGAACGGCGCAATGACCAGCAACACACAACATCAGTCAATGTATTGCTCACAGAACGGCGCAATGACCAGCAACACAACATCAGTCAATGTATTGCTCACAGAACGGCGCAATGAACAGCAACACACAACATCAGTCAATGCATTGCTCACTGAACGGCGCAATGAACAGCAACACACAACATTGGTCAATGTATTGCTCACAGAACGGCGCAATGAACAGCAACACACAACATCAGTCAATGTATTGCTCACAGAACGGCGCAATGAACAGCAACACACAACATCAGTCAATGCATTGCTCACAGAACGGCGCAATGAACAGCAACACAACATCAGTCAATGTATTGCTCACAGAACGGCGCAATGAACAGCAACACAACATCAGTCAATGCATTGCTCACAGAACGGCGCAATGAACAGCAACACAACATCAGTCAATGCATTGCTCACAGAACGGCGCAATGAACAGCAACACACAACATCAGTCAATGTATTGCTCACAGAACGGCGCAATGAACAGCAACACAACACCAGTCAATGTATTGCTCACAGAACGGCGCAATGACCAGCAACACAACACCAGTCAATGTATTGCTCACAGAACGGCGCAATGAACAGCAACACACAACATCAGTCAATGTATTGCTCACAGAACGGCGCAATGAACAGCAACACACAACACCAGTCAATGTATTGCTCACAGAACGGCGCAATGACCAGCAACACAACACCAGTCAATGTATTGCTCACAGAACGGCGCAATGACCAGCAACACACAACATCAGTCAATGCATTGCTCACAGAACGGCGCAATGAACAGCAACACACAACATCAGTCAATGCATTGCTCACAGAACGGCGCAATGACCAGCGACACACAACATCAGTCAATGCATTGCTCACTGAACGGCGCAATGAACAGCAACACACAACATCAGTCAATGTATTGCTCACAGAACGGCGCAATGACCAGCGACACAACATCAGTCAATGCATTGCTCACAGAACGGCGCAATGACCAGCAACACAACATCAGTCAATGCATTGCTCACAGAACGGCGCAATGACCAGCAACACAACATCAGTCAATGTATTGCTCACAGAACGGCGCAATGACCAGCAACACACAACATTAGTCAATGCATTGCTCACAGAACGGCGCAATGAACAGCAACACACATCAGTCAATGTATTGCTCACTGAACGGCGCAATAAACAGCGACACACAACACCAGTCAATGTATTGCTCACAGAACGGCGCAATAAACAGCGACACACAACACCAGTCAATGTATTGCTCACAGAATGGCGCAATGAACAGCAACACACAACATCAGTCAATGTATTGCTCACAGAACGGCGCAATGAACAGCAACACACAACATCAGTCAATGTATTGCTCACAGAATTTCGCAATGAACAGCAACACAACATCAGTCAATGTATTGCTCACAGAACGGCGCAATGACCAGCGACACACAACATTGGTCAATGCATTGCTCACAGAACGGCGCAATGAACAGCAACACACATCAGTCAATGTATTGCTCACTGAACGGCGCAATAAACAGCGACACACAACACCAGTCAATGTATTGCTCACAGAACGGCGCAATAAACAGCGACACACAACACCAGTCAATGTATTGCTCACAGAATGGCGCAATGAACAGCAACACACAACATCAGTCAATGTATTGCTCACAGAACGGCGCAATGAACAGCAACACACAACATCAGTCAATGTATTGCTCACAGAATTTCGCAATGAACAGCAACACAACATCAGTCAATGTATTGCTCACAGAACGGCGCAATGACCAGCGACACACAACATCAGTCAATGCATTGCTCACAGAACGGCGCAATGACCAGCAACATACAACATCAGTCAATGCATTGCTCACAGAACGGCGCAATGACCAGCAACACACAACATCAGTCAATGTATTGCTCACAGAATGGCGCAATGAACAGCAACACAACATCAGTCAATGTATTGCTCACAGAACGGCGCAATGACCAGCAACATACAACATCAGTCAATGTATTGCTCACAGAACGGCGCAATAAACAGCGACACGCCGCAACATCGCATATTCGTCGGTGTCCCTGAAATAATCTAGAATTAGGTCACACCCCTACGCCCCGGAGCAGTCTAATGATTTATGAATAAAACAGCGTACAGTGCGTAACCCTATTTAAACCTCACGGTTATCGTGTACAGCACCACTCATGTTGTGGCGACCCCTAACCATGCAATTATTTTGATTGCTACTTCATAACATCAGTGAATGTGTGCTTTCCGATGGTCTTTGGCGACCCCTGTGAAAGGGTCGTTCGACACACAAAAGGATCGCGACCCACAGCTCTAATAACAGCTCTAAGCTGTAATAGCTCTGTCAGTACCACAACGTTTCACAGCGATATAAAAGAGAAAAATAATCATAATTTAACAATCTTGAATGCCTTACTTTCAAAGTGGCAATAACGGCCATGACGAAAGCCAGATTTCTTCAGTGTGTTCTAATCAAATGTTAGACGTAAGAGAACACATTATGTATTAGAGAGAATATCAAGGAGTACATTCGTATCACACATCAGGGGTTACCTGGGACAGAAAGAGTTCAGCGTTTCCTGCTGTCATAGACAGACTTTTCCTACTCTTGATGGTCGACCTAGTCTCAAATGGTCAGCATGAAATGTCCTAGGAAATAAAAGCATACTGTTGACGCATCACAAATTTGGTTGCTAATTGGTCTTTACAAATATGGGGTGGGGAATGGGGTGGGGGGGGGGGGGGTCAACGTAATAGGCCCCATAATGCTCAAAGTAGGAAAAGGATTCTTTATTTTGATTTAACCATCAAAAACTATTGCTATGAAGAAATGAATAAATCAATCAAGAACTGATCTCACTGCACTCATGGCATACCCACACCATCCTCTTCTTTGGTAGCTAATGAAGAGTTCCCAAACTTATAGTTCCCTATACAAACTGATTAAGAGTCCTCTGATTTTGTTTCCCTGCATGTGAAAACCATCCAGATCCTCCTGCTTACTTTCCACTAAATCAGTCTCTTGAAGTATGGATGTTCTGTCAGTTCCACTGGACTGCTCACTTGATCCCAGAGAGGCTTCACCGTGTCTGCGTTATTATAAAAGTAGCCCAGTGCCCAGAGGAACAGAAGCAGCCACTTTGTCCGCCTGATTACCCTGCACCCTAGGTGTTGTGGTCAGAACACTCTAAGTATGTTTCAGATCTGAGCAAACCAGTTAATTCATATACAGGGAACTGAACTACTCTTGTTTTTATTTCTTGATACTCGTATAATCTGTGCAAAATATTTATCAGTTATATGATGATCGTATGTGTGTGTGTGTGTGTGTGTGTGTGTGTGTGTGTGTGTGTACACACATATATATATGAAATGTCGTCTAGGTCCATCCTTTTTTCCCCACACAGATGGACGGGATCACAGGATTTGTTGTGAGAAGGGAGGATTATCCCACTCGTGTCTCCCAATTTGCGGTGGCCATGCTTTGTCTACAGATGTTACCATAGCAACCTGCATGAGTTATGCTAATCGGGACATTATCGTCAGCTGTTTCTTGGAAAATAAAGGTCTTACATTTATTTTAACAGATAAAATTTTTCTCTGCTAACAAATTCCTGATATGAAACTGATCAAGCTGATTGAGGGGTAAAAAAGCAAGAGGTAGATATAGAGATAGTACTTAGATGGCTTCACAGCTTGGCATGTAAGCTATTAAAAACATGCAAACCTAATCTGTGACTCTCGCGATTATATGGGCCGGCAAATTATGACCACTAAGCTTATTCGCATGGCAACAAGATGATGATACTTACTTGTTCTTTCTTTTCGGTTTCTACATCCTATCCAGTCAATCCGACCCATTCGTGCTCCGTTCTCTGATGCTGCAAACATCTCATTGCCTTCATGCCCGCTGTACCCAACAGGAGTCAACTGACATATCTTCTTACTTTGCCCCGCAGCCATAAGAAAGAAAAAGAAAAAAAGCACACATACAATGCAATGTTTTCACCAGGTGGTACCTTTCCGTCTTTCCAGATTACAGTGTTTGTTATACTTGCTATTGAGAGGCATTGGTGACTAGCAAGACCCGCCGGCTCTAAAAAAAAAGACTTCCACAATAAGAGCATTGAATTTTTTGGACTGTTGTTGCCCTCACATGTATTTAGTATGCTCGTGCTCAGAGGCTTAGTTCTCATCCTTCTGCAATCATTTTTCCCCCTTTATTCCCATAACTTTTCTGATTTTTACCTTCAATGCAACACTGTCCATGGTCTTTCAGTCCCACGGATATATCTTAATTCTTGTATCATTTGGGTACCACCTGGATATATCTTTGTATGACAGTAGAAGCCGACCTAGACATCTGCTGCCCATCTGTAATTCCCCACAGAGGATATTATTAGGAACTCTGCTACAAGACTTTATCAATAAATAAAACAAAGAGTAGTCATAAACGACAACAACCATTTGTGGACATTTTATTATCTGTTTCTTAGTTTGGTTTCACAAATGGTATCACTGAGTTAACTGAAGAATAAAACACAATTTTGAAAACAATATGGTGCCTTATATGTAGGATTTTAGGAAATAAGGAAATAAGGTCATCAAAGAGAAACCCTAAAATAAACATTTTTGGGAGAAGCCGAATGTGCTGTACAGGATTCCATCCATGACATCGGAAAGATTTCACAGGACAGAACGGAATGGAGGGCTTGTCTGTGAGCTCTATGTAACTTATAATGACACAGCAGGATGTTGATAACGATGATATACGAATTTACATTTGCTAGAAAATATGTAGCTAAGTCAAGCATAGCATTTTTATTTTAAAACAAGTGTGTACTGTATGATGGAGATTTTGCATTAGTTGGTAATATTCATTACTTGGATTATGTTTTACTGTTTCAGGTCTCATTCCCAATCCTCCAAATAATTTTGGTGTTAGACTGGAAGACTCCAAAGGAACTGTGAAACTGCAATGGAGCCCGCCAGTTAACTGTGATAGAAATTGTACTTATGAGCTGCACTACTGGAAAGATTCCCAGGATTCTGGTGTAACTTCCGTTTCTGTAAGTCATAACTCCTGCTAGTAATGTCAGTACATGTATTTACAAGCGTTAGTGTATTATAATATATACTATAGTATACTGGTATATTTATGTAAGTCGTCATTTTTCCTAGTACTAGCATTACATTTATGTGTCGCAGATACTCCAACTTTCTAGAAATGTATGTAAGTCATAGATATGGCTAATTAGTAACCATAAAAATAAAATGTATGAGAAGGACTGCAGAAGAGACCAGAGGAGATCAAATCACGAATGAGATCATAAAGAAAAAAAAGTCGACACAAAACCTATTATAAATTACATTCAAAGACAGCAGATCAATTGGTTGGCCCACGTGTAGAGAATACAGCGTGAACGCCATACCACTGTGTGGGGGGGGGGGGGGGGGTCAAGAACAGACTCAATGCCTCAAAGCATGTCGTAAGAGTCTTCTAATTAGGGGCTTCCTTCAAAGTCGGAGTTCATCTACACGAGAGGCAAGGAACCAACAGTCTGCATCCATTTAGTGCAGATGTAAAACGGGTACACATGGAAGACTCATGTCCTTGAACAAAGCCACAGTCTAGTTGAGTATAGAAGTCAAGAAATAACATCATAGCACTCTGGGAATTTCCATAAACGGTCCGTTCCCATCTTCACCAGCCAACGCAGAGTTCCAATACCAATGGTGCCATTAGCATATTCTGATTATAGGTCCGTCTTGCTTGTCTTCTGAGCGTCGAGTATCGTCCAGATCCCGTCACTCACAGCTGCATCACTTTCACCAGACTGTGATGATCAATTTGTCTGTTTAAATTGTACACGTGCTTCCATAAGGCCTTCACCACACCTGTCTTATCATGCATCAGCATTCCACCAAGTTGTGCAGAGCCAGCCATTGTCTAGAAATGGACGAACTACAAGGACATTCGGCTGATGTTTACAGCCTATAGTTAGTTGCGTATCCTTTACAGGACGTTGCAGAACCAACCCTAACAGTCCCTGGCTGTTGTGTGGTCTCTCTAGGCAAATTTACGTCCAGTAGTTTGCCATCGCTTCTGGACGGTCGGCTTTCTTGATACCACTGTCGAAACCAACACAAAGCGCATTGCCCGCAGCTGGGATCGAACCTGGCATCCCGGCATTACGAAGCGAAGCGTTCGCATCGACTTAGCCGCAGAGCCGACATTACAACCTATAAACACATATATTCCTCGACACCTGAAGTGGTAAACAGAGGAAGTGAAGAAGAAGAAGAGCAAGGTAGATACTGCATCTCTGGTAGTAAATTCATGTAAGTCATGGATACTGCACTTACCGGCAATACATTTACTTAAGTTAAAAATTCTACATTTTAGTTACAGTAAAACTTTGTTTAACCATCACCATCCGTATCAAGGCGGGACGGATAACCGAACTGACGGATAACAGAGAACTCTTAATACATATGTTTAGTATGTTCACCGCTGGCTTAGGGCGGAAATGAAAATAAATCTTCTCAAAGTAAATAATACATACACATTGTATTTAATTTTACACCAAAGTAATCAACATAAACTTCAATATAATAGTAGTAATATACAGTCACTTTCAGCTGTATACTGTAAGGTGTAATGACCTTGGCTCCCAGGTCGACCCAGCCCTGAGTAGGTACCGGGTGCAGTCCTGGGAAAGTAAAGGCGGCCGGCGTGATGCTGACCACATCACCCATCTTATGCCGATTGGTTTATAAAAATATAGGTCTAGCCCTATATGCCCTATATGCCTGATGGAGTGGAAAAGGGTCCTTTACTTTTCACTTTACTGTAGGGTGTAAAAGTAATTCGTGGACAATTTTAAAGATGTCTGTTGATATGCACATTTTTGTTGAAGACGATAACGGATAACGGAGACTGACGGTTGAATAGTGACGATTAATCGAAGTTCTACTGTACTGTGAGTAGGAAAGGACTATTCTTACACCATTGGTGTATGAGGGGAATAATGCTAGATCCATGGGCACTTTATGGGTAATGTAGTCACAGTGTTAGCTATCTTTACCAGAATATTTCCTAGTACCCATTTTACTTTGGGCTGACCCTAGAGCCACAGGTCATTTATTAAGACAATTATATATATATATATATATATATATATATATATATATATATATATATATATATATATATATATATATATATATATACATATATATATATACATATATATATATATATATATATATATATATATATATATATATATATATACACCTTCTACGACCTCCTGGTTGGTGTCATAAACAAAACTCCTAAGCACGACCTCCTTGTTGTAATGGGCGATTTTAATGCCAAGTTAGGGTCTGACAACAAAGGTGTTCAAAAATATATGGGAGTACACAGCCCAGGAGATATGAATCAAAACGGAGAGAGGCTAATTGAACTCTGTGAAATAGCAAATCTAACAGCAGCAAGCTCCTTATTTCCGCATAAAGACATACATAAAATAACCTGGATTTCGCCAGATAACATAACAAAAAACCAGATAGATCATTTTTGCATCAGCGCCAAATTCCGTACATCAGTGCAAGACGTTAGAGCCTACAGGGGAGCTGATATTGGCAGTGATCATAATCTTTGCATTGCCAAACTAAAAATTAAACTCAAGTCTCTACTTAAACCACCCAGAAATAAGAAAATAAACTTACAAGCCCTTTTGTCAAAAGATCATCAAAGCGCATTTAATGCAGAGATACTCACCACCTATGTAACCAAAACTAATAATGCGGATACTACAAATAACATAGACACAAATTGGGACTTTTTCAAGAACACACTGACGAACGCTGCAGTAAACACAGTTGGTTATGTACAAAAGCAGAAGAAGAAGTGGCTAAGCGACAACACCTGGTCAAAAATCCAAGAAAAGGAAACAAGCAAAATTAACACTTTTATCCAAAAAAGACACATCTTCATACGAAAAATACAGTACGCTAGACAAAGAAGTGAAATCAAATGCAAGGAAAGACAAACAGAACTTCATACACGACCTCGCCTCCGATGCTGAAACAGCTGCCAAGATTGGAAACAACAAAGCCGTATTCCATATTATGAAACAACTGTGCAATCACTCACCTACACTAAATACACCCATTAAAGACAAGCAGGGTAAACTACTGCTATCCGACGACCAACAAACAAAGCGATGGGCAGAACATTTCAAGGAAATATTAAATAGGCCAAATCCTGACATCATTCCCAATTTAGAAGAAGAAATTATTACACCAACACTAATTGCCTCCAGCGAGTCATTCACAATAGAGGAGATTAAAACAGCTATTAAAAAATTAAGAATAAACAAAGCTACCGGAGAGGACAACATCTCAGGGGAAATGCTCAAAGCAGCGGATGAAAACACCCTGCAACATTTGCTCCAGCTGATGGATGAAGTCTGGCAAAACGAATACCCACCACAACAATGGAAAGATGGTGTAATCTTCAAATTACCTAAAAAAGGTGATTTATCCGATTGTAACAACTGGAGAGGCATCACCCTGCTTTCGATACCAGGGAAACTATTT